TAAAACTGCTGCCTGCCAATATCTGTAAAAAATAGCCAGGCARACCTAGGTGATTGTGCTTCAAGTGATGATCTGTGGGATGCATTTAAGGCCTCTGTCTTCAGATGTAACTTCTAGTTAGTTCTAGTTGTAACTAGGAGTTACAAGTAAACACTGATGCCAGGATTTAGCACATGAGCTGAAAATGTATTGAGATCTCCTTAAAAGAGAAAAAGAAAAAACTGAAAACTACTTAGGACTACTGAACTACTGACTTGGAACTTCAATTTAAATAGAAAATTTTACTCATTCARATGTGGTCTTTCTTGTTTATAGAAACAATACTACTATTAAATGTGATAAGATAGTAACTTTTGAAAAAGAGGCAGTAATGTTCTGCTGGGAACGGCAACCTAAGACAGCTTTCTCTGAGAAGAGTTTCTGTTCTCAGCTTTATCCTGAAAGAATTTTTTCCCTGTTGGAACAATGTATTTGTTTTGGGATACTGGTATTCTGTTTATAGGGAAAATAACCACAACTAACTGTTTTTATAAGGTAATGCTGAGGGCAGTCAAACCTCTTTCTATTAAATAGAGAGCTTAAGTGATTATTTCACATATTTCTGTAATGCAAAGTTGTGTCATAAAATAATGAATTAATTCTGTAGAATGCAAACCTCCTTGTGAAGTAATTGACTGGAGAAGAGCCAGAGCTGTTATGTAATTGAGATGTGAAAGGATCTTCTGATGGTCACACTTTGGCAAGAGATAAAAGCCGACCGAACTAGAGGGTTCCTAGTTCACAGGAAACTTCATTCACTTGATTAAAGTCCAAATTGAATTGAAACCAAAGCTTCTAGAAAAGTCATGAACCAGGACCTTTCCTAACATCACAGTGGCCCACTAGTATTTGCATTATTAGCAGTTTCTCCATCCAAGGATGTGAATTGCATTTTGCACTTGACAGGAGGGATGGGAGCTGCCAGGCWGCTTGCAGAGTGAAATGTTAAGCATTGGAGGAAAAACTTAGTTATGTGAGAGACTGGCTCATTGCTTGTAAGGAAAGAACAGCCCTTTCAGCACTGCTTACCAGGAAGAATAGAAGACACTGGTCGCTGTGCAAGGCACTGTGCAAAAATGAGGTGTGAGCATATGAATTAAGTTGCTGAGTGAATGAAAAATTACATTTTCTGATAAATGGGCTGTTAGTTTATGTAGCCAGAATAGACACTGAGCGGGAAGAATTTGAAATACCTCAAACTCTTATTTGTGCCTTTACTGCTTGGTTCCAAGGACATTGTTATGATCTTAAGGATATGGTACTAATGAGTCTGTCCTCTCTGATTGTGGCTGACAGTTTTTGAGAAAATGAAAGCTCTTGAAGTTCTCATATTGAGAATATTTATCAAGACACAGATTTGTCAAAGTTCAGATATTTGGCAGAATTTTTGTTTGTTTGACAAAAAAATGTGAATAAGGGCAGATAGCTTGGAACCTCGCCTTGTTTTTTAGTGTCTTGGTGCCCAGCTCATTGATAGCCTACAACATAATTTTGTTACTTTGCTCAAACCATTCCAGGACRTCCTGGCCATTTATCCACAACACGTTAAGCGGAGTTTTATTATGGTGTTGCTGTGGTAAACCCTTTTCCCCCTTTATTTATCAAGTGTTTTTTTTTTTTTCCCTCTCAAAGAAAAGTACAAAATCCTATTTGCTTCAAAACTACATTTTGGTAACCCAAAGCCCTGTGTAAAATGCATTTGTCATTCTATACACAGCTGTAGAGAAAAGGTGATGCATTGTCTTGTAGACACCTTAAACTTTGGTAATAATGATAAAATAAAAATTATAAATAAAACTTACAGTAGTTACGACGGACAATTCTTGCATCCCACCTCAAAAAAGAGTGGGATACAATTGCATGGTGAGAGAAGAGCCTGGCCAAGCATAAAGAGCGTGAAAAGTAGCACTGCATCTTTGTGTCTGACTGTACCACAGATGGATCATATCATTTTTCTATGTAGCTCAAGTCAAACCCATTCACAGAGCAAAAGTGTCAAGCAAAGAAGCTGAATTTGATGCAYGCATGGGCAAAAAGATTGAAAGGGTGCAGTGTAGTTTGTGAAATGGCAGTGACATTAATGTCTAGGATGTCTTGGATGTAAATCCATTACAGGCAAATAAGAAAAAGATATAAAGAAGAATGAAGATGGACAAAGTAGAAGACCAGACGAATTTTGTAGCAATACTCCATGATGTGGAGTAGACAATGAAAGAAAGGAGTAGGTAGCGAAGTCATACATTTGCATTGATAACCTGTATATAGTAAAATTAAGATTTAGATATTGCAAGTAAAGAAACATGAGTCTTTATGAATGTTAAATTCTAGGAAATAAAAATAAAACTTTTTTCATRTGACTGATCATGGGCAAAGAATAGAAAGACAGATTGGAAATAATGCATGGACTGTTGGTGAAAATGCTGGCMGTACTTTAATTGTCAACAGGAATTAAGATCTACTTAAGCTCCCTAAGAAATAGAGTCAATGGAACAGGTAATAGTATTAAAGTGAAGAGGAAAGTTAATGTTCATAATGTTACTTTATGTCTCTTATGGATGAATGATGATGTATACAGGTAAAGGGCAGACAGGGTAAATGATTTTCAGGTGTTACATGCATTTTACTATTGAGGTTTTGTCTTAAGAGTGAAGCGAGGTGTGTGATAGATATGAGATGTTAAGAATGAGAGTAACTAGAAACCAGGCAGGATTAGGCATACTGTAATCCTGGTTGAAAGATTAAAGGATGGAAATTCATATGAATGAATTTGTGCCAGGGAAGGACATTGGRTTGATTGGTCCTAAGGAGTATCTGCAACATAGTGGTTGTGGAGAACAAAGAAAAAGTGAAACAGTAGAATTGCTGGTTTCAAGTAGCCTTGCACCCAGCTGAACTTCACATGGCTGTTTCCTGAAATTCTGCCTGAACTGACTGTGTAGTTTTGTGTAAGTTCTAAAAAAAGAAAGCAAGATCAAAATCCTGAAGCCTATTATATGCTAAACAGCTTTTAGAATCTTGATGTTAAGCATAAGACAGCTTTCTACTAAAAATAAATGAAGTATTGTGGTATAGGCTCCCCCCCTCCATGAGTGTGTTCTGGCAAATTCTGTATAATAATAATTTTGATATTTCTGTCCCAAATATGTATTCCTGCTAGTAGGTCACACATGATTTTTCTTTATTATTTTTAGGAAGCAATTTGAAAAAGAGTGCAGTGATAAACAGAGAAAGTTCATGCTCTCTGTCAGAACACTGAAGAATGTGAAATAAATCCACGATATTTTTAAAATGTGGTTAAATGGTACCACAAGCAAGTATGTCATTTTACTGTAGTGGTTAAATCATTAAAACAACTAAAATCAGTACTGTAGCAGTGTGTGAAGATGCATGCATTAACGCTTAAAGTTAGGGAAACCTTGGCTTCTAATATGGATAAACCTGCACAACTAATTAAGATAGTTTAAATGACTAGTGATACTTCTTAATAGGGCATGTGCACAGGTGAATGAATTGGCAGTAGTGTAAACTTTGGCTGTAATGTGGGTTAATGAAGCTTCGCTGCTGAATTAGGTGGTGTGGGATGAAGGTGAAGAGGCATTATGGGCATCTAAGCCTTGGACATGAAATAGGCTGTCGCAACGTGCATTTCATGCTCAGAAAGATGAGGAGCTTTACTGTGAGATACAGGAGAAAGGCCAGTTTTTAAGAACTGTGACTACATTGATCCATTTTGCATTATTTTCCCACACTGTTGTTCAATGACCGTCATTTCTCTGCGGAAATACAGCCTACAGAAATATGTGGTAGTCCTCTCATGCTGCTTGGTATGGTATACTTGTCATGCAGTGGTGGGGAGGTCTGCCCTGGGATGTGTTTCCCCCATTCAAATTCATATTTATGAATTAAGGACCCTTATGATATGGCTGAATTATAATGAGGTGGAATTGGGAAAGGAAGAAATGGTAGGAGAGAAGCACTAAATATCTTTATACCAAGACTAGCATGGCTATGAGCCTAAGTGTTTGCACCCTRATCATTTTCCTTGCTCGCACTTGCTTGCCCTTGTCAGCTGCTGGCTACTGTTGCATGGTTATTAGATTACACCGAACTAGAATCACTTGAGCACAATCTTATCAGCACTTAAGAATAATGTAAAATATTACTATGAGTAAGTCGCTGTGCATCAGCTTCATCGAAGTAWTGCATGTTTTTATCTAAGTGAAAAGTGAACTAGGTTCTGTGTATCTTAAAGAGAAAATGTTTAAGGGTAATGCAGTTGCAAACCATTAGTAGTAATGGTTCCAGCATTTTCTGCATTATGTGACTCTAACATAAATCTGGAAGGGAAGGGGCAGCAGAGAGGGAAATTCCTTTAAGATGGAGTTGGGGGAAGGCAATCTTGTATGTCAATAAATATGATGTATCTTCTGAAGAAAAAAAAAAAGCAACAAAAGTAAAAAAAAACATGATTGAAATTACTCAGCATATTTCAGGCTTAATAGGAAGCACTAATGGCCAACAATGAGATCAGTGGGAGGTGTATTGTGCCCTTAATAGGGAATAGAAATGCCTTACCTATATTCAGTGCAGCACTAAAGGTTATTTTGTTGTTGTTGTTGTGTTTTTTTAGTGTATGATACAGGACAAACATTACCACTTACAAATCAATTAAAAATTCTCTCTGAGAGATAAAAATCCATATTATGACTTCAGCATCCAGCTACAAGCTACTTAGTCTATTTTTAAGTCTTTTAATAATCCTTTTGCTTCTTCAGAATTCTAGCTGTTGACCYTCTGTGGTCATATGTGCTTGTAATTACTCTGCTGATTCTTCTCTTTGCTCTCCCCCATATCCATGACTTTTTTTTCAGGTACTTTAAGCAGGTTCTGTTGCATGATGAGGAACAAAAAATCTGGTGTTCTTTAAAGATGAATAAAGCAGATGTCATTTTTGTCAGAGGAATGTGCATAAAAGCATGGTTGTTTTCCATCTTTTACTAAACGTAGGCTGTTTTCATTTGCCAGGATTTGTCTTTAGTGAATCTGAATCAACTGCATTAGAACAATTTGAAGGTGGCCCTTGTGCAGTGATTGCACCTGTACAGGTAAGATGTATTTATTACAAGAATAGCTTAAATTTTATAAGCCCAAAATGTCATCTTTCTGCTCAGTATAAAAATTATTGCAGATATTTTTATCCTATTTCATAGTTGTAATGTGGAAGGGACAAAAGGTTGAGTGCAAGAAAAAGCAGAGGTGGGCTGATCTTGAGCATAAGTTTTCAGAAATCGTCTTGTTTGAGGAAGTGCAACAGGTTGATCCAAGAAGAGGCAACTTTTAAGTGGATAATGCACGAGAAAGGAGATTAGATATAGAGGATTGGAGGATTAGATATAGATGAAATCGTTGTGAAAGTGAAAGCCTCATCTTCTTCATCCCTCAAATTCCCTTTTCCTTAAATGTTCCTTAAATGTTCCTTATCTGTGTCAAAAAAAAAAAGCTGTTTAAGCTAATTGCATTAGAAATACCTGAAGTAATTTAGTTTCAAACCTGTCTAGCTTTATTATGTAAGAGGAAGAGAAATGTCCCTATCCTAGTTAGCAAAATAATTGAACAGAAGTTTGTCAGATTAATGTGTTTTACTGCACCTGCTTAGAATTTCAGACGTGCCTGAATATGCTCATGTGTCTGTGATGGTTTGGTGAATTCATTGTATCTTTTGGTCTATGTGCTTACCTTTCAAAATGCTGTTTCTGGGRCATCCTCACCTCTGGTTTGGAGCTAAAACCTGTGAACTGAACCTGCTCCATGCCAGCAGTTTAAATTGTAGTTACTCTTTTATTGTATTTGGAGTGTCATGTAGAGACAGGCAGACACTGAGCCATGGGCCAGGTTAGTTTTTCTGGTTACCTGCTCTTGTCTCCTCTTGCACACAGACAAACTGTGCAGATGTGCCTAGATCTGTGCAGAGGCCTTGTCCCCTGGCAGGGGACACGTGCCATTAAGTCTCCCATTAGTGTGAATCTGATGGTAGAATGAGGAGTACCTGTTGTCACAGGGTTACTTGTGTTTCAGGTGTGCTGTAATGCTCATCAGTGTCCACATGCAGCCCATGCAACACCCTAGTGCTGATCACATGGAAAGACTTGTTCCAGAGGAAGGGACATCCCTTGTTTAGGTTGTAAATTATGAGTAGGACTTTCATATTTTATCATGGCTTGCACGCTCTGACATGGCTTAGTTCYTGGTCTGGGATGTGAGAGTTGCAGGCTTTTTATTTTGGAGGAGTGCTGGAGGGATGAATCAGATCAGCCAGCTCCTTGAGAAATTAAGGAAAGATTGAGCCTTTACCAAATCAAATGTTTTGTAGATGATGTTTTTGACAGTTTATTTGTATGTAATTTAATTTCCTTGAAATAAACTATTTTAAAGCAAATTTAGAAGTCAGCTGAGTTTCAGCTAGGGAAGGAGGAAGGGATCAAACATAGAGATCTACCAGTGCCGACAGCAGCTGTGAGTTATGAAAAGCTGTGGTGCGAGAGCCGGGTACGTGACCGAGTCTTTCATTGAAGAAGTGAAAATTGAGCAGCTGTTTAAGGTGCTGCAATAATTGAAAGGGCAAGAAAAGGCTTTCTTCTTCCCGTAGCTGCTGGTTTCGTTTGTTCCTTTGTAACCTAGAACTTATCAGTTATAGATACTTGAATTGTAACATGGAGTTTGAGGGGAAAATGGAACAGAGATTTGGAGAGGTATAAGTTTCTTCAAGTTAGGACTTAGAATGGTTCAGGTGGGTAAGCTTTTTAACCGCTAGAGAGCTTTTAAATGGTCTCTGGGTGACCAGAGATGTCTTCTCAGTTGAATGCAGCAAAATATTTCTCTCTGCACTACTGCAGACCCATGAGACTGGAACTGTTTATTCAGATATGCCCTCTGTGTGGATTCGAGCCATACCTGAGATTTGAACGTAATATGTTTTGTATTTTAACAATTATTTGATACTTTGATTCTGAAGGCATTCCTTTTGAAGAGGCTTTTTACCAGTGAGAAGTCTGCTTGGAGAAACTGTCCAGGTACAAAGACCACTTTTTTCTTTTCTTCTTTTTTTTTTGGGTTTTTTTTTTTTTTTTTTTAATGATTGTAAGGCAAGTTACAGTGCAAAAAATTTAGATGATCATATGCTTCCTTCTCATTTAAATATACTGCTATGCCATTTTATAGGAGGTAGATGGTATTTGTATTGCTGATCTCTAAATTCTCATTTGTGAGATCAATGGCAATCTGCAGTATTTGTCTGCTTGTATATTAGATTAATTGGAACCCTTTCTTAGTATAAGGGTTGGATTAAAAATCATATTAAAACACTTCTGTGAAGACAACTTTACTTTTCTGGCCCAATTAACATCAATAATAGAAAAAAATCACTTTACTGATTTTTATAATTATGTAGAAAGCAGTAATCTAGTTGTATATTAGTTACTAAAAACATATTTAAGGTACTTATTAGCAGCAATTCAATTCATGTAGGTCTCTGATCTTTCAGAAGAAGAGCAGAAGAACCTTCTCTGTCATACACTATGTGATATTTTGGAAATGGCTTGCTCTGATAATTCTGAGTCATACTCTCTGGCGACATGGATAAGAGGAAAAACAACTGAAGAAACTGCTAGTATTTCTGAAAGTCCTGCAGAATCTAGTCGTCAAGAGGAACAACCCTGTAAGATGTATTTCTGTTTTAAATTACCTATCATTTTGTGAAGTTGTTTTCAGGGTCTACAGCTTTTTATTATTACATAGATTAAGTTTTTGCCTTTGTGATTCCATTGAGAATAGACAGACTTTTTTCTCCTGTAATTTGAGGCATTGGTTTTTTTGTAGAAAGGAATGTGGCATCACTGGAGTGCTGTGCGTTTCCCTTGAGTCTGAGCAATTTGTCTAATMTTCAATTTGATTTTATAATTTAGGACCTGAAGTTTATATAGTTTGGAAGTATTTGTGTGCTTCCTAACACTGGAGGAATATTTTAAATTGTTACATATGGCTGTTACATATGGCTGCAGAGCATCTATCTATATTACTCTGAATTCCCTTATAGGTATCTATAGCTGTTCCAATACAACTTGACCAARTCATCTTTTGATAAAATAATATGTTTTGTAGGTTAGATTTTTTTTTTTATTACCTGCTTTTTGCAAATGTCTTTGCTCCTTCTTAAGTAATTGGCATCAAGGACCTAGTAAACATCATGTGTTGCACTGAGATAAGGCATCCACGCTGCTGAACCACTGTGGGGGCAGTGACATGGAAAATTTTAGTTCTGTGTGCATATGATCATTGAGATGCATGGATTTTAGTCTTTTTAATAGGAGATAGCTAAGATATTAAAAGATTGGATTTTTTTTTCTAGTTTTATTCCCAATCTGCACCTCCAGAAGCATGAAAAACTCTTCACATGAGAACATGCTTTTAAAGGTGCCATCTTTTGATGGAATGTATATGTTATTCTGCAGTTTGTGGTGTAATTTCAAAGTAATAATTGTACAAGTAGATTTGTGTATGTACTGTGAGCTTTAGCAGTAAGTAATGCTGGAGCTCTTTACATATAAGTCATCTTTATTTGCTTCTGTGAATTGCTCCAGGTGCTTTAGACTGCTCAAATAATTAGAATGTCAATCAAAAAAGCAGGTCACCTGCTTTTTTCAGTTCATTATTTTTTAATTTAGAATAAGTACTAAACAGACATTGTGTGTCTTTTTCTGGTAAAAAAAAAAATCTTTCTTTCAAAGATCATAGTAATGAAGCATTAATGACTACTTTTTACTACTTTCAGTGAATTTTCCAGTTGTCTATGGAACTTTTTCCTCCTCAAGAAATCTTCATAATACAAGCACAAATAGGATTTTACTGTCCTATTTATTAGTGTCTTGCCTTATTTTAAGGAGTTTTAACTGTAGCAAATATGCCCAGCAGAAAGTCTTCTCTTTTAACTCAAGTTCTATTATTATTCTCAGCTCTGACACCGAATAAAGTAATCCATACTATTACTTATCTATATTTTTCATATTTCTGCAAGTATACAAGTTCTGCCTAGCCTTGTACTTTATGCACTGGAATGTGCTTGGGAAGAACACGATATGTTTACCATGAACAGTTGCCTTCTGTCATGAACGATCCTAAACTTTCTCCTGTCATTGCTAGAGACGGAACATATCTCTGTATGTGCTCTGTAGTTCAAGCAGTATTTATTTTTGTCTTATATAGTGTAATATACTTTCCATTTTGTGTGTGTGTCCTTCTATTAACTATGAAAAGAAATTCATTTTTTTCTTGGTTGGGTTGGGGATAAAGATATAGATAAGATGATACTGGTGTTGCTGGATTTTGTCACTGACAGTGGAAGAAAGAAAGTATTTCTGGTTTGGTTGCTGTAATCAATAGAAAGGAGCCTGGTCATGGTTTGCAAGAGTTAAGAGACAACAGAGCGAGGAGGGGGTATTACAGATCCACTCCATGTGATAGGCTGGTTGGGAGCTGAAGATGGGAATGTGCATGAAATATGATTAGACATACAGTAGAGAAATTCTTTAAAATTATATTCTAATTGTCTTTCTTTTACAGCTTATACTCTGCTGCTACTCTTTCTTTCCTTTCCATAAAATATTGTCTCCATTAACCTTGATTGGGTTCTGTCTCTCTACACTTCTGTTTAGGATTTATTCTAGCTTCCCCTTGTTGTCTGCTCTAAACACTAGTTTTTTACCATTTCACTCAGTTCTGCTGTAACAGAATAAAACTGACTGTAATCCAGCTGTGTCAACAAAAGGTGGATTTGAGCACACTTACTGAATTGTGTTGCATTTGTTTCATCTGCTTTTGTGGTGTATACCAATAAATTGTTGTTGGCCATGCAGTTGGCTGAAATAGTGCAAGTTCTCAGGTTCAAAGATTGCTTTATATCATTTATTCTCTAKTATAATTGCATACCAACCTCCTATGTTCTCAGGATGATTTTTGTTTGTTTGTTTTTAGCTCCTGCAACAGTTTGTAAGAGAGAAAGTGTCCTTTCTTGTGAGGACAGGTGTTAGTTTAAAAAAAAAAAGTCTGGAATTTTAGTGCAGTGTAGATTTGTGTTCTGTTTTACATTTTTCAAAAATGTGAGAAAACCCACAATTTTTATAATTTTGATTTTAGTCTTAAAAACCTGACTTTTCCAGTTTCTCTCTCTCTTTTTTTTTTTTTTTTTTTTTTTTTTTTTTTTTAAAGACAAAATTACTCCTAAGATTAGTACCTCCTCCTTATTTCTGCAGGAGAAATAAATTTGAAGTGTCATTCTATTGATGGAGAGAAATTCAATTGTATTTACATGTAAACAAATCAAATGCACCTCTTTGCATACAGTCAAAAAGGACATAAAAGCTGTAAAAAGGAATATTCATGGGAATAATCTAATAAATGTTTCAGGCATTCAGCCTGAACTGTATGTTCTTACATTTAGAGGCTGCATCTTCAGACATTATTTGGTCTTTGACACTACCAGTTATTTGACCCTAAGTGGCCTTTCTCAAAAGTGGAGCTGCCTGTTTTTTCACTAMCTGTAAGCTGAAATCATAATGGACATAGCATTAAAAACTGCTATAATTCTTAATATTTCAATGTGTCTAAGAATTATGTGGTAATACAGTTGTCAAGTATAGCTTCTTGCTTGTAAAAGAAAACTTGGCTTTAAAAATTCACTTCATCTCCTTAGTTTTGAAATGTTATGAGAGGAATAAAGATATAAAGCCTTTGTTGAACCTGGGAAGGCACTAGATGCTGTATTTTTTTTCTTTCTTGAAGTGATGCTTATATTTGAAAGACCATTCATCCATTATAAACTGAAAACAATGAGAATCTTATTTTAAATCAGCATGTATGACTGGAATAATTCTATTTGTATCTTATAAATAAGCTTTAAAAGAGAAAAAAAAGCAATCAAAAAAGTCTCAGTAATACAGATATATTTTTGAAGAAAAAATACAGCGTTCCTACATTGATACTGCYCTAAAATGGTCCAGATAATCATGCCTGCTTTTCGGTAGTAAATAATACTCCTTGTTAACCTGCAAAACTATGTGGATAGTATGCTTATGCTTGATGATTTTACTACAGTCCTGATTGGTAAAAAATCAACAGCATCTTTCAACAAATATTTTCAAGGCTACCCATTCCATTGACTTAGTGTTCTTAGAATAATCTCCAAATAGAGGTGTAGTCAAAGATTTGTATGATGGGCTCTTAATATTGTCAGTCAGTTTAAACTAGTCAGTTTAAAAAAAAAAAAAAAAAAAAAAGACTGTCAAGGCAGGATTAAAAATATAACTTAGCTTGAAAATATACTAGCTTGCTGTGTGTATCTTGTGTCATTTTTTTGCCATGTGTAGTGCTGAAAAGTGTCTCTTGTGTATAGCTGCCTTGGCTGTCGAAGAGCTTGGCTTTGAGCGATTTCATGCATTAATTCAGTAAGTAACATGTTGGAACATTTAAAATACAGTATTTTGAAATTACATTAATATTCASAGCCCCTGAAAGGGATATGTCAAGGTGCTTTTAAAATTGCTTCCCAGCAGATTAAGCTTGGAATTCCTTTTTTTATTTTTTTTTTAATTTGCATTTTACAATTTAAAATGGGGTATAATTTTAGGCATAAMAATTAGACTTAAAAAAAAATAGAACCATATAGTGTGAGAAATTGCCCAGATAACTCTTGCATTTCAAATATGTAAAGGCGACTAATTAAGATGGATATCTTAAGTTTAATGCTATTAATCTTCAAATTTTTGTGTGGTCTTCTAAAACAATGATTCTAACTGAAATAGTTGCATGATATGTACTGGAGAGAAAAATAATAAAAAAAGGTTGGCCTCTACTGKTTTTTTTTTTCTTGATTTGAGGCAATTGAGATTTCTTAATTCTGAACTGAGACAATAGAGAACATGGCTATTTTGATCTTACCTAGCTTAAGCACTTTGGATCTGGGGGTGTAAATGCAAAGTTTACAATTTGAATGACTTTAATTGTAAGTGCCATTTATTTTCCCAATGAATAGTTTAATTTTCATAAAAATAAATGATGAAGAAAAACAAAGGAACTTCAAAAAGATTTGTAAATGGAAAATGGGRAAAAGCTACTAATTAAAACTGAAATAATTCTTGATTATTATCATCAGTTTGTTCTTCTCTTTAAATTATTTTCATATGAGGAAACAAGAAAGAAAGGAAAGAGAATGTAATTTCTGTAACTTTTCCCAGCCAAATACTGAACTTTCCCCCCACCTTTGGTTTTGTGATGCCAACATTACCTTTTCTCAGCTTGTGCTATTGGAAATGAACATTTTGGCATATACCACTTTACAGCAAGTTGGATGGTAGGTTTTGAGAACTGTATATGCCTCGTACTCTTGCCTCTTGTACTCTGTTGATGAAAAAAGGAAATTTAAAAAATCTCATGTGTTAGGCAAAGTAAACCCATTTTTAAATATATTCGTGTAGATATGGAGATTTTTTTAAAAACAAATTTTACTAAAAGCAGACCAGAAAAAGAAAAGAACATACTGAAATTGACGCAAGATAAGCCAAGAATGTGATCTGATTTGGATTAACTCGGCATGCACTAATGTTTGTCTTCTGAAAAGCAGTATTTAGCTTTGAATATCCGAAGAAATAGTAAATGCATCACTTCTCTGGAATCTCATGGATCCTTTTCTTCCCTCTGTTTTTTATTGTTTACTTTTTTATTTTTAAACTTAGAGTCTACCAGCATTACCTTATAAGACATGCAGCAACAATATTTGGCAACCCAATATTTTCCCAGCTGTTTATTTACAACTGGTGGCTTTGAACAGTTTAARCAATCAAATTCTTGCTGGATTTCTTCTGAAGGCTGAACAACTGCTTTGAAAAGTTATGTTACCAAGAGCGGTCCATCTGTTGAGGAGGGTAGTATCTGATGAACATGAGATGTTATCACGAAAGATAACACTGTTATCCCCACTGTTCATGGACTGAATGTCTGCCAGAACAATAYGTACCACGAACATGATTCTGCTGACATACAGTCTATTCACAACCTCATTATTAACAGTGTTTTCCAGAACTGTTTGTTCAAGCCATTCAGCTCTATTGCAAGTGTGTGCAACTATGCTTAATGTTTGCATATGAAGACTGTGGCCATTTTTGCACATTGCTCCAGAAATATTTACTACTTTTTCATGGATAAATGCTGGTGACTGTGGCAGATACTTTAACCGCAGAATAGCTGCTGTGGTTTTGTGTATATAACCCCATTTTAGCTTTGGTTTTGAGAGTCCAAACTTAAGTCTTAGTATTTCTCATTTGTGCTTTGCTTTTGCTGTTCTAATGCTTCATCTAAATACAATCCCTTTTGTTTTGTTCTGTTTTCTTTTCTTTAGCAAACGAGCATTCACAAACTTCCCTGAACTGAAGGATGCAGTTTGGGATCAATACTCCGTGTGGACAAACAGATTTGGAGTATTGCTGTTCCTATATTCTGTGATACTAACAAAGGTTTGGGKTTTTTTTGTTTGTTTCAAGAGAAAGTTTGATCATGCTACCCTTTTTCTGTAGAAGATAAACCTTAAAGTTGTTGAAGAGCCAAAACTAGATCCATGGATACAATGGTATATTTGTGGTGTTATAATAGATTTCCAGGACAAAACCTTGAAAAGCTCAGCCTTGTTTTCTTTTCCCCTATCTGGAGGAAGTACAAATTTTGGTAACACCCTGCCCAACATGTTCTGATCGCTTGCCGTCATGAACAAGAGCATGTTTAAGTCTCAATTCATTGCCTAGGAACATCTGCCTCTAGTAGGCTGGAGCTGTCAGTGTATCACAGGAATCAGTACTGGGTCTGGTGTTGCAGTGACCTGGATGAAGGGACAGAATGCACCAATGCACCAAGTTTGCTAATGATACAAAGCTGTGAGGAGTGACTGATACGAGAAAGGGCTGTCCTGCTATTTGGAGGGTTCTCCACAGGCTGGAGAGATGGACAGAGAGGAGCMTCATGAAGTTCAGTGTCCAGTTCTGGGCTACCTAATACAAGAGAGACTACAATAGAGCTACTAGAGCAAGTCCAGCAAAAGGATGCTAAGATGTTGAAGGGTCTGGAGAATCTCTCACATGAGAAAATGCTGAGAGAGCTGGGACTATTCAGCCTGGGGAAGGCTGAGGAAGATCCTTACCAACGTTTACAAACTCCTGAAAGGCGGATGTAAAGAAGCTAGTGGTGCCCAGGATGAGAGACCTAAACTGAAACACAGGAAGTTCTGTCTGAGCCTGAGGAAAAAAAACTTCTTTAGCATAAAGGTGACAGAGCACTGGAACAGGTTGTCCAGAGAGGTTGTAGAGTTYTCTTCCTTAGAGATACTAAAACACAGTCCTGGGTGACATGCTGTTGGTGACCCTTCTTGAGCAAGGAAGGTGAGGGTTGGACTAAAATCAACTCCAGAGGTACCTTCCATCCCATGATGTTGGAGGATTGCAGTCTGTTGTTACAAATGTTGCTCTTCATCCTTGAGAGGGGAAAAAAAAAAAAAAAGTATTTTTTTTTTTTCCAGGGAATAGAGAACATTAAAAATGAAATTGAAGATGCAACTGAGCCATTGATAGACCCTGTTTATGGTCATGGAAGGTAAGCTTGAAAGTATGTTTGCTGCAACAACATACAACAACATAAAATAGATCAGTGGGGTAAATTTTAATGGTTTTGTAACTGATCTTTGTTTGTGAGTTTTTTTTTACATTACAGAAATGATTCAGTTGTGATTCCATAACAATTAAAAGTAGAACTTCATATAATTTCCTGTTTCCACACTTTTTCTATTTTGTGTTTCAGTGGTTCTAAGAAAATGTTTATTTTGCAGCTGAATTTTCTGAGAAAGTTCTCAAATGCAGGGCCTAATTCTTATATAAAATTGTTGATTGAAAGAACAGAGATTGTATTGGTGTGGCCAAACTACATACATGCTTTAATTTAAAATAAGTAGAAACTCCTTAGGTGATGCGTTTTTTTTTTTCATTTAATTAGAAATACATACAAGTATAACTTGTATGTCCCTTTTCATAAAGTTATTTAATTACATCTCTTTATATGACACAGCCAAAGCTTGATTAATCTTCTGTTGACGGGGCATGCTGTTTCTAATGTGTGGGATGGAGACAGAGAATGTTCAGGAATGAGTAAGTTGATTTTGTTTTGTGTTTCTTCCATAATTTTTGTATGCAATGAAATGCTGACTTACGAATTTGGAATTGATGTCGTATTTCTGTTTTGATAGCCTCTACTTACTCTCCTTTGATTTATGTAGACCTCAAATGGAAATGAAACATAAGAGCAGAAAATCTGATATTATGATCAGTGAATACAGGATTTTCTCATGCAGGATCAACTATAACCCCTGATGAGGTGGCCGAGAGAGCGGATTGCGCTCTCGGCAAGTTGGGGAGAGTGACTGGTACCCGGGCAGGCAGTGCTGCCTTTCAGAGGGACTTTGCAAGCGAGAAAAATGGGCTGACAGGAACCTCACCCCGTTTAACCTCATGGATACTGGCTGCCTAGGAAGCAGCTTTGTAAGAGAGGGCCAGGAGGATCTTGTGGTCAGCGAGCTGAACACGAGGCATCGGTGTGCTGCTGTGTGAGAGAAAGCAGCCACATTGCAGAGAAGCAAAGGGGTGACTAAAGAGCAGCAGAAATAGAGGATGTGAAAGTGGTTCACAGCATATTTGCAGAGGCAGTGATGAAACAGCAGTGAGAAGGTTCCCGCTGCAGTGCAGAAGGGGAAAAACGCTAGATAGGTGATACAGTTATCTTGAGTATGTACACTTACCAGACTGAAATTTCAAAATGCCACTTGCTTTGCATTTTGATGTAGATAGTGTGTATGAAGCTACTTCACCTCTTGCTTAACTCTTTAGATGTCATCTTAGTTACTTAAGTAAATGATCTGAAAAATTGCTTGTGAACTATTTTACAAGTATTGTCACTCATTTTATGAGTGACACAGATGATGCTGAATTATAAACTCCAGGAATTAACAGGTAGTTAGAGCTCTAACTCCTGTGCTATTGCCAAGTGTCCAAGCAGAGCAAACGTTATTAATGAAGATTTCTGTACCCTGCTTGTATTAACAAGTTGAAACTATGTAGGCTTTGTCGCCTTCTCTTTGGTCTCCTACTTATATAAAGCCCTTTAAGTTGTTCATGTTTTAATGTGTTTTATTATCACAGTTATGATCGGCAGTCTGAGGGTTTGTAGTTTTTGTTTGTTTGTTTCCTGAAGAAAAGAAGCTTGCGTGACCATTGACTGCTAGGGTGTCTCCTCTCTCACAAAGTACTCTGGACACAACTGGTTTCCGTCATGTTTTGTGTGTGGCATTTTAGTGAAAAGTTTCCACAAGCTGCCTGAGAGAGAAACCCCAATTAGTGCCTCCTGTGAGAAAGACTCTGTGAAGTTTTTGAGGGTAGAGATCTCAAAAAATMTCTCTCCAATTTTCTTTCTTATGTTTTGGTGAATTATTGTGGGGGTATTTTTGCCAGAACTTATCTTCAATTTTGTATTTAAATCACTAATATTTTATTTTATCACTTATATTTTATTGGACAGAACTAATTAGAACAAGCTTCCCTTCATCCTTGTGTGAAGTGCAACTATRTAACATGAAAAAAGAGTACCCTAATAACATGCTCTATTTTTAAAGTGGTGCCAAGAATTTCTATTGTGTYAGTTTGTCACTAGGTGGCAGTGTACCAACCATAGCAGGATAATGTCATCAAACTTTAAAACCTTCATCATTAGTTGGGACCTGCACTTTAAGGCTCTTGAAGATGGAACAGATTTGCAAAAGTTCATGTTGAAAAAGGAGACAGTAGTTTTATGGCAAGAGGCAGAGTTSTATTTTTATTTTTATTTTTATTTTTATTTTTATTTTTATTTTTATTTTTATTTTTATTTTTATTTTTATTTTTATTTTTATTTTTATTTTTATTT